TCAACTCAGTAGATCCGCCTCGAGAGCGGCCATATACAAGGAAGCCGCTCTCTTTCAACATATCTACTGCATATTTCTAATGATGGGTGTCACATGTTTCACCAGATTCCTCTAGAAAAAAAGAGAGAAGGAAAAAAATTTCACATCCTCAGGGGGTAGTCTAGTAGTAAAATATATTCTCATATTTCACTAGTTGGATAGATTTTGGGTGATTTGCTCTCGTTCTCCATCAAGCCAGAAGCGCAGTTTATGTTTCAGGTATTGTTAGAAGAATAGAGCGACGTTACCCATCAATATAGGGGTTATTGTATAAAGTGGCAAGTAAAACCGAGTAGAACTTAGTTTCCTTTTTATCTCCATCCCTAAAGCTTATAAACGATGTAATTTATATATATAAATTTGCAGAAAATGGTACTAACCTCATTAAACTTTATACGGGCACAGGTCCAAAAATTAAGTTTGTCCTTATAAAAAGGTTTATTTTAAAAATAACCTTTGATTAATAACTATAATTTTAGTATTAAATATTAAAGATAATGCTGAAATGTTTAAAAAAAAGAAAAAAAACCTTTAATGTGCGGGTTATAATCAGAAATCTTTTTCTATGGTTTTAAATACAGAAAGTAACTGTACAGTACAATTAATAAGTTTACTTGTATTTAGCAGTAAAGTTAAAAGGTAAATGCAATTCAATAACCAGTTGGTCTGGTCGAAGCTCGCAAATTACTAGATCACGCTTGACACAATGACACAGGAGACGTGACACAAGGACAAAGGACCAACGAGTAACCATTAGTGAAAGGCAGACGTGTGCCATACACAACGAAAATTTATAGTCCAGTGATAATGTTTGTAGTTTTGGCGCCATCAGAAAATCATGGCATTCTTATCACGTATGTCACTGGTCAGTCAGAATGCACCAAAGGCTGTGTGGGTGGCCATCCCCTATCTATGCATTGGGCGTCCCTAGGTATATAAAATTTCAAGCATGCAAAGCCACCTGCATCCTGCGATTGGTATCTCTCTTATATCTTTTTTTTTCTAATAACTGCAAAAACAACCTGAAACTTATGATCCAATCGAAATATTTACCCGTTAAAACGATTAAATTATTATTATTACGATTATTCATTAATTTTGATAATTATTATTATTTTTATTTGGGTATTTATTTCTTTATTAGAATGGAAAAAGCTGGTGTAAAAATAGATGTAATTGTCTTAAATGCTATACATTATCTATTCGAGGGCCTAGTTTTAACTCGTGTCTTATTCCATTGTTGATACGATTTAAATTAGAAGAATTCTCTCAACGTTGGAAACATTAATTCAAATAATTGTGATAGATTATTCAATGCAGATAAGATATATCACCCCCTTTGAGGAAAAAGTTGAAATTGCTATTCTTTCTTAGAAGTGTGAATGAGTAGGATATACATCACAGCATCAAATCATGTTGTGCTACATACGTCATTATTATATTGTATATCACGTTTTTCTTGTCAGAATGTATTTAATCTCATCATAAAGTCTATCTTACATTCCTGGTATACGTATAGGTGCATGCTATCTTACATGCACACGTAAACTTGTATCAATAGATCGGTGTAGAGTAACGGTACCGAAAGTTTTAATTGAATGTTAAAATTACTCAATTGTAATTTTAATAATTATTAACAGTAGTAAGAAAGAGCCCGTGAGTCTTAAGTATGATCAATTGACAGCTAGGATGGAAAAAAAGAATTGCAAAACAAAAGAATGGTGGCAGTGGTATACACGTTAGAGTTAAGCCACGTCATACGCCTAGTCACGAGTCTCCATAAGATCTCCACCCGATTATTATGAGATCAGATGATCCTGCCTCTAATAGTTGGGTTGTTGTGATTAGACTTAGCGACACATCACCTCCAGCGACCCAAATTATAAAGCGCAGCCCTTAGGATAAATATAGGGAAACTTGGCCCGCTTTGATTGGACGGTTACGAGCATGCGCTCTAAAGTTACAAAAGGTGGTAGTATACGTCAGTGTCCACTATTGATAAATACTTCCCTGTAGGGGTGGGTAGAACCGGGCCCCTAATGATAGGGCACGCTCAGACCGCCCCTAGTATGTCTCTTATCCCCTTACTTGTATACTCTCGGGTTTTGATTCTACTTCGACATGTGTTACAATATGGACATCTGCCCTTTGGGGACGTGGACAGTACTCTATGAGAAAGTATAGCCGTGTAAAATGACTTTTTCTCTCTTCGGTTCTTCATTCTCGTCGCCAAGAATCTTCGAAAAAACCTCTTTTGAAAATAGATTATCTCCCCTTTATTCACCCTGACGAGAACTAATTTTGCTAGGAAATTTATGATCAATTTTCTGCGAAATACATAAAATTGCGCAAGAACTATTTTTATTCAAACTATTCAGTCTATCATTTTAAAATTGATGGCATGTTTCGTGACGGAGACAAAAATAGAAGTGAATCATCATTGCACAGTGTGACCTACCTGACAGTTATTAAAAATATCTGTATTCGGTAATCTCGGCCTATTGATAAGAGCCCATTAAAGTGAGTGACTGGTGACACGTGTCCAATGACAGGTGTAACACAGGAGGATGACAGAACATTGGACATTATGTATTGTTGTGTTGATTCGGCCACACCCTCCCCAACGATAAAATTCCAATCTCGGTGTCATTCTATTGGTTTTCGGCTATAGTAATTTGACCAATCGCATGTCTACATTCGAGACAACGCCCAGAAACATGACAACCCTGTGAACAAACACGTGCATTGACCCAACTGCGGGAAATTTTTTTACTCGTTTTTGTCTTAAAAATGCGGTCCTATTACCAATTCCACCTTCGATTTAAACGCATTCGTCCAATCTGTTCTTAATTCACGTGAAATAAATGAATAATTTTATTATAACTCAATGAATTTCCGTCGTATCCGTAAGAGGGGGGCCTTAACCGAGTGTGCCCATTCATGAATGAATCGGAGTGAACGTGTGTAATGACAAACAATTATTAAAATTAGCGACTCTAGAAACATGTCTGCACGAAGTTGTATTGTCCACGCCACATCAGACAAGAAGCCAAGTGTTGGGGAGAATGCTGGCACGTGCGTCGACATTCCTCTTGAATGGGCCATATCAAGTGAATCATCCGGGCCACAACCTCTTCGGGTCACGACCTTTTCAGCTTTCACCTTCCCGCCATGTGATAATAAAAGAAAAAGTTCACTGGACTGCTTGGATCCGGGTTCAACTCACCGGAAATGTCTTCGTTTGTTCGACTAAATGTTTTTAAGTTCGCTTTCTTCCCCCCTCCTCTCATACTCCGTCTTCTTGCATGCACGAAAAAATGAAAGTTCTTGGCTTACCTAATAATTATACTTTCTTTTTTTTTAAATCTACTGTTGACACAAAATTACTCAACTTGTTTACTATTAAAGCTTACTTCAATAACTATAATTTAAAAATTATTATAATCGTAATAAACATGTTTAGAACCCATTGGAAATTTACTTTTTTACTTTAATCTATTATATATATTTTTATCTGATTAAGCTGATTCTTTCATAATTTACATTAAATATTTTTTAAATAATTTCGTCTAATGCTAAGGCATGTTCGTATCGACCCGAAGCAGGAATTGCCTTATAACACTGGCCGTGAAAGAATTCTTTATTTAATAAAATAGAAAAAAAAAACAATTATCCGCAGTAAGGAGTGTCACCAAAAAAATATATAAGATTTATCATTCTTTAAAGTAGACGACAGTTAACCAGCAGGTGACAATTTTTTACGCCGACACCCTCAATCATCGACTTTGTCACTTGTTCTACCACGTGACAGCCCTTCCTTCCTCCTGTTTGTCATCAGAGAATTGGGCCTACCACATCTCCGGAAGCAAAGAAGCGGTGCCTTTCAAGACAGCAGATGTCTAATTGGTTTTTTTTCTCCGAGTTCCAACAGAACCTACATTAATTCTACATTAAAATAAAATAAAAAAAACAAGAGAAAACGGGGGAGAGCGCGCCGATCACGTGGTGGATAAGACCATCAACTCCCCCTTTCAGCCAGCCAGATTTTTGCCACATTGACCTTTCGCTGATGGTAAATTTGGCTCGCAGCCAACGCGTGGACCCTCAACTGCTCGCACGCGTCTAATGTCATTTTGGCACTTGTCTGGACCACTTTGGGAGGCGAGCTAATTCGATGAATTTGATAAATGCCTTACGGTTGCAATGAAAGTAACCATTCGTCAGCTTACAGACTAAAAATCGTGGACCAGAAACATTATATATCAGTTATATTTAGCCTCATATTTTAGTTTGTGTAGTAAAAATATAAGTGACGAGTGTATTAATATTATAAAAACGTACTACAATAAATGCACCATATCCTGTGTTTATTGACAGGGCATAAAAATGCACTCGGTAATTTGTACAAGTAATGTAACGTCAGCATAAAGTACAGTTTATCGTACAAGTTTAAGCAAGGGGAGGGAGGAAATGATATCACCGGTTGAATGACTAAATTAAAAACACATTATTATTTTTTTTAAATTAAAGCAAATAAATATTTAATTTCTTAATTAATAATTTTGAAAGTGGTATATTTAGATAAGGATAAAATTAAAATATAACATCACACCATCGTCGAAATTCACAATCTTTTTTTTTCCATGACGAAGAATAAATTACTTGAATAACAGAAATTTCCGAAGATAAAGCACACCTTTTATATATATATACACGTATATATATAAGTGTGTATATTTATATATATATATTTAATTAAACACCGTGCCAATAATTATATTTTAACATNCATGAGCTTTTAAATACTTGTACACATGAAACCAATCATTTGCAAAGAGGTTTTCTTGATTAAAATCAATGAAAACCACAAGAGATTTCTGTAAACATCCGACAAAATTGATAATCCTTTATATCCCGTTTATTAAATAAAGTGAACTTTACATTAACTACATAGAACTGTACACCTTTTATTTATTTATTTTTCTTTTTCTACGAATTTATAGATAAGTCTATAGAAGAATCTGTACAGAATCTAGACAGGAACCTGAAGAACAACGTCTGAACTTCATTATGAGGAAGCTTGTTCTTAGCCGATACGTCCAAGTTTTTGGCACAATATGACAGAAAAAATGCTCTAAATTTATCAATTTTCTGCTTAAATTTTTAGATTTGTAAGCCGATTTACTTACAGAATTACAGAGAAGCCATAATTAAAGAATCTATTTTGCGCGTAGCCTATTCAGAAAATATTAAGTTACATATACACAACAATCTAAATTTTATTTTATTTATTTATTTTTTTTAATATAAATAAAATATATTTATGCCTGTATTTAGGCTAATGAAATTTTTAGAATTTTCCGGATTAATTTCATATTTCTAAACATCCGAACGGAAAGAATTTGAGAGAAGCACAAAGGAAGAAAGTTCAATTCTCCACATCCACTATCTCTTGGTGTTCCGAGACGTGATAATCGCAACCTTCTATATCTACATTTGCAGATGGCGATAGTGGGCTACCTGTGGGTGACATTTCTGGTATTCCTAAGTGGGTGGAAGTATGTCGTCTTAAATCACAATTTCTTCGAAACACTTTACCACAGGAAGGACAGTTATAAGGTTTGATGTCCGTGTGGGTCAGGAGGTGGGTTTTGAGGTTGCTCCTTTGGTTAAAGCTTCTCCCGCAAGTAGGACACTTATGTGGGGAGTCTTCCATGTGAAGGATCCTGTGGACAGCTAAAGTACGAGACTGACAGAAACCTTTACCGCAGTCGTTACATTTGAAAGGCTTTTCTTTCGAGTGGATGTATCTGAAATGGAAACGTTACTTTTAATAAATTTATACAAGTTACATATTTATTATCATATAAAAAAAAATAGGCCTATAATAATATATATCCAATAATATAGTAGTCCTTTTCGGAGGCCTTCTGATTTATTAGAAATAACAGTAATCGGCGGGGCCTCGCAAATGGAAAGTGCACTAGATGCAACCTCCATTTGTGCCGCGACCCCCATCTTAAAGGCACGAAAAACGAAATAAAATTTGAAAATATATGGTAACAGGATATAATTATTAGTAAAAAATAAATTTACATATTTAATTTATTTATTTTTGTCTCGATGTGAGTAAAAGAGTACACCTTTGGCTCTCTTGTTGCTAGGCCTTCTACTACATGGCTTTATTAATAAACTATTAAATAGAATATATAAACTAGTTATAATTAGGCTACTTTCTATATAATTATTATAATATTTTCTAATAATTAAAATAAGAACTTTTAATTATATTATTGGTTTAAAATTTAGGCCTGTAAGAAATAATTTTAAGCGATTTAAATTTATCCGGAATCAAATAAAAATTGCAAAAAGAAGGTATAAAAAATATCATCTTTTATGAAAACAATCGTTGTAGCGGCCTTCATTATGAATTAACATAACTATTATTTCTTTCTTATAAAAGAAAAAGGACGTCTTGTAGAGTTCCACCTACAGAGACAACTTTGGGCCCCTTTCTCTGATAAGCCCCTTAGTCTGATCATTACATTCTCTCGATTGATCGATTGCCGGGATCAACTCTAAACTTAACCCAGGAGATCATGAAATCTTAAAAAATAATTTCACAGAAAAAGATTTAAATGGAAGATAACACTAGAAAACCCAATAATAGACCCAAGGCCTATTGGGTTTTACAGTTCTTTTCTAAAGGCATTAAACAGTATGATTTTTTAAAAAGTAGTGTTTAATATTGATAAACCTTAACACAACTCGGGATAGAGAAGATTATTATGTAAACTTCTGTATTGCTCCTATTCGAAGTGATGGATTTAGAGGGGTGAGCAAAGCGAAGCTGCAACCCCTTTCCCGAGTAAAGCCGGGAAGTAAAAAATTTTGTAAGGCATATTGCTTCCTTTCTGCACCCTAGTCTAAAGATTTCTGAATCCGCTATTGCCTATTCGATGCATGGATGATGTTACGTGCATGAAAATTATCTCACCTCTGAACGAGATAAAGATATATTGAACCTGTGTAGAACGAAGCTGTACTTGGTTGTGAATTTTTAAACAGAAACGAACGATTGCATGGTAGGAGTTCTCTTTATTCGCCAGGGTCGGAATGGATGTCACGACAGAAGAGAGCGTGTCCCGTGACACAACGCATCAACAATCACACATCTTAAGAGATAAAAATCTCCACTTTGATTTATTTATTAACCTCTCCTTGGCACTAAGAGGTAGGAAAGAAACATCCGCATACCTTCGTCTACAATATTGCTTATGCACAAACGATATAAAACCCTTAATTCTAATCATAATTTAAGAGTTTTAAGCCATTCAGAATTAAGAGTTTACATCAACAAGAAATCTGATATTTAATTGCATTAACCTTTAACCTCGTATATATATTAAACTGGTTTACTGTCTACGGTTACGCCAAATTGAATTTTAATTACGTGTGATACTTATTCGCATATGGACAAAATAAACATCTCGCTGTGCCAAAGATAAAAGTTAATTTTATTTTTAAACTTGGATTTAAAAAAGAAATAAATAAAGCAATTTAAATAAACTGTCTTTCATAATTGTTTTTTTTTATTATAGAAGTCCCTAATTATAGATGAAGTTATCGCAGATAGATTTACTTGCGATAAATCGCCGCTATGTAGAGGTCTTAATAACAGGTTCTATGAGAACTGGGCCTAATGATAGGATCAATTTTTTAATAGCAGTAGATCCTATTGAAACATTTAATGTCGATGATAAGGTTGTAAATAAGTAAATTGAATGACTATTATATAAAATTCGAACAATAAAACCTTACAAACACGATTAATTTCTTGAGTTAGATTGGCATTATTGTTAAAGATCGTAAGAAAATAAAGCCAAAATTTAAATTTTATGGAATAAAGCAACGTAACAGGTGATATGTCAAGAGGGAGGACTTTCTATGGATAACTTGCTCCTATTTATATATTATATACGTGAAGAAAACCCAGAAAATACGCGGCCATCCCCGTTGGTCAGGAACGAAACCACGACCCGTATGTTTTCGGCCACTGGTGGACCCTAAAATTTAAGCCCTTTTATTCTAATTTAAGCTTTCAGAATATAAGAAAAGTAAACATTTCTTCGATCTGCTAATAATTATCTGATATATTAACCGTTGAATGTTGCAAACTGATGTGGGGTCGTGATCTTAAGAGGTCTGAAAAGTATGGCTTAACAAGTTTGTAATGTTAAAAAATGTAATGTGATTTAAAAAAACGAGGAAAAAATTGTTGGATTTTTTCCTTGCTTTAAAATATGCCTTTGTTTTTTATACTAAAAAGCAGCAGCCAGTGAGTCTTCAAAACCAGACTCTCAGGAATTTCGGAGTAAACCAAAAAAGGAATAACGTTTCAAATACTTAAAGAGTAGGCTACGTTCTAGATCTCATTTTACTTAAGTTATGATTTATAATCTAAATTTTTAAAGCTAGAGAATCAGCGGGATCTTCAGACTAAAGGCAAGTCTCTGTAAGTTGATAATATTCAGTAAGTAATATAACTTTGTAGATAATATAGTTATATTTTTTAATTAAAACTAATAATATAAAGAAGCGGCGTTTTCAATGTAATTTTAAGTAAAGAAATCGACTTACTTGTGATCTCTGAGATGATCCTGTCGCCTGAAAGCTTTATGACATATTTCGCATGTATAAGGTCGTTCGTCGGTGTGGGTCCTTTCGTGGATTAACAGATTGTACGATTTGGTAAACCTGCGTTGGCAATATTTGCAGATGAACTCCTTCTTTGGTCTGGAAGAACCTCTTCCTCGTCCTACTTTTCTTTCGAAGAAATCGGAGCCGATGCTGACAGCACCGAGTGCAAAGTAAGAGGGTACAAATGGAAAAGCGTGACTGGTTATGACCGCCGATGATCCCTTATTGCCACTCGATTTATCGGGTGGAGAATCGTCTTGCGTGGTAGCCGATTCGGCTAATCGAGAAAAATCGAATTTGGATTTCTTCTGCAGCTCTTCGGTTTTAGCCAAACCGTTCGGTCGTGTTGAATTCTTATCGTATTCGTGTTTGGAGGGGCAAGAAGTTGGAGCGTGTCCGGTCCAAGAGAGGTGGTAAGATGTGGCAAATTGGTGACCACATGCGGGTAGTAATGGTAATGGTGTCAGTGGAAAATGCGGACGGGCGTATGGTAGTTGCGGTAGGGTATGCATGCCTGCTGGGTGTAAGAACAGAGGTGGAAGTGTGGAACTGGTGGCCGTGTGCTGGGCTTTCTTTATCAAGCCGCCGCTAGCGGACGTCTCTGTGGGTGCCACTCCTTCTGTTCTATCTTCTGTTATTTTCGAGCTCTGTCCCTTGTCTCTTCCTACATCTGCTGAAGAGAAATTAAGATTTGGTCAACGGACAACAACTCTCTTTCAACTCCTCCTACTTTGATCTTAACTAAGTGACGTCATCCCCACCTGTTAAAGTTTCCCATTTTAAAAAGAAGTGAACCGCCACCTGCCACCATAAATCAGAACCGTCATGATTAGAATTTTTTTCTATTCTCCTCCCCCGCTCAACCCATTAAAGAGAACAAAACAATAGCGTGTTTGGTTTAGACCTCTATTTTCTAGCTCGTGCCACACAATGTCGCAACAACCACCAACTAGATCACATGATCTCCTTTTTTTTTTTAATTATAAAATCAATTAACTGGTTGGAAGCCATATTGTTGAAAAATTATCTGAGTGGCGCCATCTCGTTTTGATCTTTCAAACTAATTACTATAAGAGTTTATTCTTTTAATATAACCTCAAAATTTGAATGTGCAATTGCTTTTCGACTAAATGTAGTAAACGGAAAATATTCCAAGTGAGATAATGAGCTTCACTTAAGCTAATGGGCAAGGAAGAAGTAAAACCTGAATAGAACTAGAAGCCTGTTAAAGATGATTTGTGGGCATACAATAAACTTACACTTAAAGCAATGCTCAGATAGGGGTTCGCACCTGGAAAAGCCATAAAATTCGAACAGAAATTGTTCGTATCTTCAAATGCAATTGTGTAAACCTATTATAAAACGTATATTTAATTTATAGTATATACAAGAAGAGATCCTGCCCACGTTTCAAAATAAAGGTACCCCTGCGAAGATACACTTTCACACTAAATTGCAGCGGTTTCTCGCAAAGGACGGGAGCTTTATCGGCTTAAAAGTCGTTGTAAAAGTCACAATAAATAAATACAAATCTAATTAGAAGCAAAAATCTGTCATTCCATTAACGCTAAGTTAAAACCATCCTATTAATCATGTTCGCCCACACCCAACATTATATGTCATAGGAAGAGAACGACAAAGACAATGTCAACGCCCAACATTAAAACTCGGCAGCCAGATCAATTCACTCAGCCAAAAATGCTATTGTCGATAACGATAATTTGAATAGATGTACTCCACAAATCTGTGCTATTATCTAATAATGCTAATGAGCTCAGTCATGGTAATCATTATGCAAACTGCAGATAGGTAATTTCATCTTTACTTTTGCCTTAGGTTTTTGTAGCTGCTGGTGTAATTCTTTGAAAATGACAGTTATTTTGTAAGTGGTTAAAGAGAATATTGCTAATGATTGATGTACATCAGTCGGTAAAGGACAGAAACCGTGAAGAGTACCAATGTAAACCACATCCGTTTTGTGAATTATAAACATTGGTATCGAATTTACGTCCCTGAAGTAATGAAGCCCGATGACAAATGAATCTTAAACATCACTCTGAACAATTTTCGGTTATTTTACACCAGCAAAATAAGGAAATCTTCTGTTTCTTTTGCTTCTATTCTCATACCATACAAGTGATCCGACGGCATTAACCTAGGCTAAAAGGGCAAATTACCCAAAATTGGTTTCATTAATTGATCTGTAACTTGCGAATTACAATGATTAATGGATAACGCATTTGACTTCATTACTGTAGTAGGCCTATACATAATTAACTTTCACTTTTTTTTAAATTTCATCTTCTCTATCAATTACTAAGCTAGAAAATCTTAACATTATAAAAAAAAAATAAAATTTAAATGCGTGTACAGTACATATATTGCAGACTTCGTAGTACAAGTTTAATTTTTTTTTAAAGAATAGCTTACCTTAGACGAATTATATATATTATAAATTAGTTTCAAATTACCGAAAAATACTAATAAAAAAAAGTTAAAATTCGTTCGAAAAGAAGCGATAAAGATTAGAAAAATGACAAATTATAAACAGGAAACACAAAAAAATCGTTAGACACGTGCTATACATGCGCCTTTTTTTTTGTAATTAGAAGATCGCTTTACTCCAACCACATGTTCAGTTAAATCCGTTCTGTTTATCTTCAATGGCGTCTATAGCATGAAACAATTAAAATAAAGCCTAAGATATTACACAGAAAGAGGGAAGAGATAATACACACGCGTGAAACTCGATTCACTTCTCGTCACTCAATAAGAAAAAGAATCTTTAAAGGAAATACGCTTATTTAGACGATTTTCTACATTTAATTTGTTATCCATACTGGCTTACTTTATTTCCAATTAGTGTAAACGTCGTTCTTAGCTAGCGGTGATCATCAAAGTGTAGCTAGGACCCGACTAGAGCTGTTACTAACTCCTAGTAAATGGTCACCAAAAATAAACAGAGTTACACGCTTAACGTACACAAAACGACATTTCTGAGTGAGACGAATGGAGTTTCGTTTGCCACATTTATATCCCCATGTTAGGTCATCCACTAAGCTTGTTTCTACACTCCGATAAACCAAGATAACTATTTATATTCGAGTACAACCCCCTCAAAAGAAAAAATAATAATAATAATAATTTCTTAAGCATCCATTATTGTATATAATTTCCAACTAGTAAGAGGAAGATCTAAAAATAGTTATTAATGTGTTAAAAAAAAAATTATATTAGGTAAACATCTACAGTTACTTTTTAATTCATCCTTCATCCTTCTCGCGCCATCTATTAGTGACATTAACAACTATCAGATAGAGCATGATACCTATTAAACGAATCTATATGTAATTTTGAATAATAAGATTTATCTTCCACGTTTAATGTAATCGTACCGACGAGTTGTATTGGTAAATAGCTTAAAGTCAAAAGGGTGATCTAACAGATAGTGTTGTATGTATAATTAAGGAAGGTTTTACGCCCTGCAACTCTTCCTCCACCTAACCGGTTTTACCCTAATTGGAAGTGACAAATGTAGTCAAATTGGTACTTTCGGCTTCTGTTTTCTTAAGGCTATAAACAATATTTCTGTTATTGAGTGATTTTAAGCTTTAAAAATGAGAAAAAAATACAAGAAACCACGCTGCATAAAATGCTCCTTTACAACTGCCAGACTGTAAAAGTTACGGACGGGGGTTGGATTATTTTAAATACGTGTTAAAGATATAAGCCTACTTAGTTTCTTTTTTAAATATGTTACAGGACTTTTTAATTTAATAATAAGTGTGGAGTTAACTCATTTGTCTTCCTTAATCTTGGGGGTGGAGAAGTAGATGTGGATAAATAATTAAGTATCTAGGTCTACAAACGGAACATAGTAAATGCGATTAGCCATTAACAACTCCCAATTCAAGGTTTACGCCCACATCAGTCCTTATTACATTTACCTTTAGCTAGGTAACAGAGAGGGGGAAAAACAATCCGTACTATTGTTGGAGATAAACATGTGGTATGAACACATAGGTTAATGAAACATCAACCTTCAAACCCGGATCTTATCCACGATTAGTGTTTCAAGTCGTGTACTTTCATTACATGACATTCAGACCTTCAGAAGCTGCGCTACCTGTTCTGAAAGTTGGCCAGACTACTGAGCAATAAGGAAATTTGTGGACGAAAAACACTCGGATTATACAGTCAAAAGATCACGTAAATACTTAGTCGTTCGTTCGTATGTCGGGTTCTTGCCGGCTTCTCAATTATCCGTGCCTAACAGCTGAATCCATGCTGTAAATTATTGTTAAAAGCCGGTTATCCGTAGAACGGGAATTTAAATAATCGACGATAGATGTCGCCAGCATGCCCGGATAATCGAGTTGGTAAAGCCGAGAGTGAAAAATAATCTTTCGTACGGAACTCGTCAACGAAAATCTGTCAAAACTCAATATAGTACTGTACAGTACCTTCTTTTCCTTTTTAATTTAGACAATGACAGAAAGTACAATTATATAGAGGGCAAAAACGTCTCCACCTGAACGGGTTAAAGGTCAAATGTTAGAGAGGGTGGCTGAGATTAATGAAGAACGAACGGCGGGGTGCAAGGCCCAACCCGACCGTGACAGGCATAGACAGGCTGTGTCGCCAAGCAGGCCTCTGACGTGAACTTGATGGATGACAGGATGGTAGTGTGCGGTCAAACGTCCAATTAGCTGTGTTAGTGCTCGGTTCTGGCGTTGGTAACAGCGAAAGATCATGATTTTATGGTTCCTCCTTTAAGAACCACTCATTTTTAATGCCTCTCCAAACTTGAATTAGTGGGGAATATCCTTAATCGATATTTCATATCTGATCGAACTTGCTACAAATAGAAAATGAATAGTAGAAAATATATCACTTAAATTTAAATTAGGACATTTATAAGGCCTTCTGTCGTAAGAACAATGAGATTCTACTGAACAATTCGCTTACGTTTGGGTTCGAGTAATTACTCAATAAAAGATAATTTAATTAAACAATAAATTCTAAACAATTGTATAGCCCTACTCACTGTCGAAATTTCTAGCAGAAACACCAAACATTCGATTTATCATCCTACTTTAACAATTATAAAAGTTATCGTGATAATTCTATTTATAATTTTACGAAAAATCATATAAAATTTTACAAATAATAGGCTAAATTCGTCGTTTTTTCATAGAATTTTTAAATATAATATCCTATATAAATCCATTTATGTTTCAAAAATTAGGCCTATGTCTACAAAGACATAGGCCTAATTTTTGTAAAATAAGAATTGGCTATTAAAAATGTAAATTAAGTAGACGTAACAGAAGTAAATTCCGTTGTAAAGAAACAAATCATTTAATTGTGATTGTAATGAATTTCATAAACATTTAGCTATTGTATAGAAGGGTGTTTTCCGGACCAATTTAATAAATCATATGTATAATTTTATCCTTTTACTTTCTCTGAGACTCTTGGCATTTCCGAACAGATGGAAACTCGAGTAAATTGCAGATTCGCAGTTTAATATGTTCGAGTCAATTCACTTTGTATTTGAAAGTCAAATATCTCTAAATTATTTATCAGGTGTGATATATCTCTTTGCTAATCAATGACACAACTTTTTACTTAAAAAACAAGTTTTACAGTTAATAGTAATTAGAAATTTTTATAAAGGAATAATTTTATAAAGTATTAAAAATATAAAATATTAAAAAACGCTTTTAAATTGGATGCGGGAGATAGCGGGATGTCCTCACTCCCACCGTATGCATCAATACAGTGCATTTATACACGCA